AAAGGGATAAAATAAAGTCAAATAAGATCGGGAAAAGCTCTCCTATAAAAGTATGTTTTAAGAAGGGACTTAAAAGAGTTCACTGACTCAGCCGACCTGATTTCCTCGGGCAGGCTGTTCCAGAGCCTCGGGGCCCTGACAGCAAACGCTCTGTCCCCTTTAGTTTTCAGTCGAGACTCTGGAACAGACAACAGACCTCTGCCCGAGGATCTCAAGGTACGTGCTGGTGCGTATGGGACTAAAAGGTCAGAAATATAACAAGGCGAGAGGCCATGAAGAGCTTTAAAAGTGATCAATAGAATTTTAAAGTCAATTCTAAAACATACTGGGAGCCAGTGTAATGAAGCTAAAATAGGAGTAACGTGGTCATATTTCTTTGTTCTGGTTAAAAGCCTGACAGCTGAGTTCTGGACAGTCTGGAGTCGATCAATAGATTTTTGGGTTAAACAGGTGAAAAGGCTGTTGCAATAATCCAGGCGTGATGAGACGAAGGCGTGTAAAATGGTCTCGGTATCCTTAAAAGTTAACACAGATGCAGATGATACATGTCCCCAGAAAATTTCGTGCATGTAGGTTGAACGTGAACGAGGGGCTAATCTTTTCCAATTTTCTAGGTGGCGCTAGCAAGTCATTTTGCCACGCCCATGTGCGAAACTTGTAGAATATGAAATTTTTCACCGGTTCTGACATGTTTGCAAATTTTGGTGAGTTTTCGAGTATGTTTAGGCCATGTCAGTTGAGCCTACTTTGCAGAAAAAAAAAAAAAAAACAATCCGAGCAAATTCAATAGGGACCTCGCACGGTCGTGCTCGGGCCCTAAAAAAAAAAAAAAAAATCTTAGCAAATTCAATAGGGACCGTGCTCGGGCCCTAAAAATCCGAGCAAATTCAATAGGGACCTCGCACGGTCATGCTCGGGCCTTAAATATAGAAAGTAAACTCACTCCAGGTTCTTTCAATCCTCCCCACTGATTCCAGACAAAGTATAACTGTAATACAGTGGGAATCAAACATCCTGTCTGATGTCAGTTTAGGATGACATTTAGGATATTTGGTATTACAGAAACAAATTTCCTAATTGCATTTAGGATAATTATTTAGCGAGGCAGCAGGATGACTTACTGTGTTTTAGGTTAGGAATGTAGCTTTTACAGAACCATCCTTATTTAATGGTAGCCTGTCAGAATGTGCAGTGAGTAAACCTCACTCCCTGATGTCTTATGAGACATACTAGTGAAAGACGCTGGATGGGTTTTAACGCCAAAGGTTGCGAGTTTACAGTAAACTCAATCTTGGGGCCTACTAACTGAAGAATTTTGGAATGCATAGACTTTGTCCTAAATTCCAAATAACCACTGTTGTTAAGTCTATATGGCAATTACAGTGAAGATGGGGATTAAGAAGACAGAAGACAGGATTAATCCCTAAAATTGAAGCTAAAATTGAAGCTAAAATTGAACACCTATCTTTTCTTGTCGATTATAGCTAGCCAGTGACAAGTCAAATAAGAAAGCCGTTGTCATTGATACAGTCTCGTGTACATTCTAAAACACAGATACAGGTATGACAGGACAAGCACCAATTGATAAACTGGGTTTACACTTCTAGTTAGGCTTTCTTAAATTAAGATACAAGGTCTGAGATAGGAGAGGACACAGTCATGAGTTTAGGAATTGCTTTTGTAATAGGAAGATTATTCCTAACTTTGAAACTCAGGATAGGAACATATTTCTGTAATGACGCCCCTGTTCTACATCTTGTTGATGTATACTGGACTACTTGCTTCAGTAGCAGCCAGCCCAAAGAATAGTGATATTTTGGCTGGTTGGACTGTCGGTCCTTGCAACACACGGTCCATTACCATGTTTTGATGATGGTAGTGGAGAGTACAACCCCCAAATCTTCTATCAAATCTCAAAATTTTACACATTAAAATCAAATGGCTTGATTCCTGTTCCTCACACTTTTATTGTCCTCATCTACACTATATTGCCAAAAGTTTTAAGGACACCCATCTGAATCATTGAATTCATGTGTTCCAATCACTTCCATTGCCACAGGTGTTTAAAATCAAGCACCTAGGCATGCAGACTGATTCTACAAACATTTGTGAAAAAATGGGTCGCTCTCAGGACCTCAGTGAATTCAAGCGCGGTAGGGTGATAGGTTGGCTCCTGTGGAGTAAGCCCACTGTTAGTGGTATTATAACAAAGTGGAAGTGATTGGTAGCAAACTCAGTCACAAAGTGGTAGGCCACAAAAATCACAGAGCAGGGTCAGCGCATGAGTTCAGAAGTCACCAACTTGCTGCAGAGTCAATACAGACCTCCAAACGTGTGGCCTTCACGTTAGCTCAAGAACAGTGCGCAGACAGCTTCATGGTCATGGGTTTCCATGGCTGAGCAGCTGCATCCAAGCTTTACATCACCAAGTGCAATGCAAAGCGTCAGATGGAGTGGTGTAAAGCACGCTGCCACTGGACACCAGAGCAGTGGAGACGTATTCTCTGGAGTGACGAATCACGCTTCTCTGTCTGGGAGAAGTCTGGGTTTGGTGTTTTCCAGGAAAACTACTTCTCTGACAGTTTTGGAGCCCTACGTGAGATTTGAAATTGGCGCACCCATTACATTATTGCTCCTCTGATAGTAAGCTATCCCCTGTAGACCATTTGAAACCGAAACCAACCAAAAACAGGTATCAGGCAAAAATCTCACCCCAAATCCTCACACATGTTAACTTCAGAAGTTCCGATAAAGTGCAGCTCACAGTCTGAAACAGAGCAACATTGTGCTTCAGTATTTAGATGTTTATATTGCAAAACTCTACCAGTTACGTTACCGCTCGTCACAACTGTCTGGATTCGCAACTCGAGGTGCTCTTGATTACCAACTTTCTCTTGGGTGCCACCTGACATTTTGCACCCTAGGCAACCGCCTAGGTCACCTATGCCACAGGCCGACCCTGCTTGCCTGCCTGCATTGTGCCAAGTGTAAAGTTTGGTGGAGGGGGTATTGTTTTTCAGGGGTTGGGCTTGGCCCCTTAGTTCCAGTGAAAGGTTAATGTTAATGCTTCAGCATACCAAGACATTTTGGACAATTTCATGCTCCCAACTGTGTGTAAACAGTTGGGAGATGGCCTCTTCCTGTTCCAACATGACTGAGCACCAGTGCACAAAGCAAGGTCCATAAAGACATGTATGAGCAAGTTTGGTGTGGAGAACTTAACTGGCCTGCACAGAGTCCTGACCCCAACCCGATAGAACACCTTTGGGATGAATAGGCCCTTTTCACAATTACGTCAGACCCCTTCTGGTCTGACTCGAAGCGAGATATTTTTACTTCCGGTGTGCTTTTGCCTCGGAGACTTCTCTGGAAAATGCACGGATGCTCATCAACTTTACAAAATTGCGAAAGGTAAGGTTAAGAATAACAGTATTTACGTGTTTAAATTAGTTTACCGTGGTAACGTTATCGATCATTTTCAATTTACCATTCTGTAACAGCCATAGACTGTATATAAAGGAAACAGCATCGAATTCATAGTTTTCACGTGACGTGACACTCCAATGAAAACGCTCCCTTGGAGGGCAAAAAGACGTTAATTTCCGCTGCCTGCCAACCAATATGTAAGTGATACACTGTTACTTTGAATTTGTTACTTTTTGCTTTGCCAAAATGCTGGATGGTTGTTGTGCTTTCGGATTTACTAATCGAGCAGATAAGCCTGAGCTGTGTTAGGTGAGGGATTCCCCAGAAGGTAAAAGTAAACATTACCGCAATCGTGCGGCGGCAGTGACCTGGAGGTTTTCAACGGTAGAAATGCGGCATCGAATGCTGTAACGTTATATGGATCGGATATGCCCAACACTTGCAGTTTGTGTTCATATCTTTCTTTTTCTTAAGTTGAAAGGTGATACAAATAAAATTTGACTGCTTTTGCGGCGTCTCTACGGGGGAGTCGCGTGTAAGCCGCTATGTTGGTCCGTTGTTTTGCCCTCCAAGTCACAGCGCATGTCACGTGACTGAAAACTATGAATTGGAAAGTAGGCTAGCTAGCAGCAACTTTAGCAACAGGTAGCTAAAATGTACACTAAACATTGTACATGGAGCATAAGGAGCAATGACAGCAAAAAAAAGATATAAAAAGCATACTGTGTGTGTGTGTCTGTGTGTGTGTTTGTATGTATATATACACACATTTAAATTCATTCTCATCACAGTTTACAATTTTGGTTCATTTTGCTTTGAAAGAATAAAATGTATTTTCAAAAGGAACATCAATTTCACCTTCCAAATTAACCTAAAACTATTTCCTCAGGGTTTACAACTTAAGAAGACATCCAGGTAGATGTTATGATAGAAATGATCAAGCTTCTGTCTCATTGAGTGGATAATTGCCTCATCCCTAAAGATTCTCTCAACTGTGAAGTCAGTGTGGGTATCTGTAATAAAATCCCACCACTGAAGTCTGCTTACAGCCAATTGGCCTTGAACCTGATAATAGTATTTGTGGCTCTTCTTAAGGCAGGCCTGGCCTTTGCGTGTGATGAGGTGTTTAACTTGTGCAACATTTTCATAATTGTAACTCTTTACCTCAGCTAACCCAAAGGCGGTGTTCCCTTTGGGTTGAAGACTTTAGCATCAGGGCTGGCTCCAAGGTGAGGTGCATCAGGGTGGATGATGATCCTCTTGTGCGATACCTTCAAGCTCATGATACACGGGGCAACTTTTTGAGCAATGTTGCTGGGCAATGTTGCTGGTGGCAAGTCAGACTATGTTTTGAACGGGTAGTGGCGGGGCTGGGCACTTGGCGGAGTAGTGGGGGAATTGGATTACGGTAGTAATCTTTACTCATTACCATTGACGGCAACAATGCCCAGCACCATTGCTCTAAAAGTCGCTCAGTGTATCATCAGCTCTCCAAGTGGCAATGTTGCTTGTAGTTGGGCTCAAAATCTAGTGGAAATTTACAGTTGTAACCGTCAACAGGCAACTGAGGAAACTCAAGGGAACTTGGATGTTTAATAATGTCTCTGCTTGTTTCAGGAGGGCATTGATAAGAAAGCACAGACCACAGACTAAATGGAACAGGGCCAAATTTAGAGTCCACCAAAGTAAGGTTGTCAAGCCCGTGCAGCAACTTGCATATCCCTGGTTGTGGACGCATGTCTTTCAGTTTCTCCCCGCTGGCCATGACGCGATGATCTGGAAGAGGACCTGCAAAGTGACATATGTCAAGTTTAATTTAGATTTCATTATGTCACGCAACCTTTCAAACTATAACAGACAGTCACGCTAATCACCTCCCTTTACACGTTTGTTATGCAAAATGCCCAAAATAACTACTTTAATAGTGTTAAGGTGCCCCAAACTTCAATTCTAAAATTTTATTATAAATTGCCAAAGATAATATCACAGAAGGCCTATATAAAAAGTAATAAATACTATTCACTCTATGTTTGTTATGTAGCTGTATAATAGCTGGGGGCTCATTCACTCACTGACATATGCTCTGTACAGTGTGCACTTCACACCAGTCCTGACCCCATTTTTTGTCCTTTCCACTGGTTTACACACTGCCATATCATTTGTAGCCTCTGGAATAAAGTAATGAATCATAAATGATTAATTTACAAACAAGTCGATACAAACTGTTAGTCCAACATCACCAAGTATAACTAATATTAATATCTGACCCGTGTCCTTGGCCGGTGCCAGGTCTGCAGTGAGCTGGAGCACGACAGAGGCAATGGCACTGTCTTGAAGTCCATAGTACTGTAGTGAGCAGTTGGAAACAGAAGTGCCACCATGTGATTGCACAGGGCATTCCCAGCTGACCAAGAATATGACATGTGCTTCAGTTCCACAGGAACCTTTGCAGAATCAAGTGTAACCTGTTAACAGGGGCATAAGTGTTATTGCTTAACATTATTGTATTTATTTTTTATTTTATCACACACAATTTGTCAGTCTTTTGTCCTCAAACAACAAATTTCTGTTTTAAGGATATTTACAAAGAGTTTAGCTAGCTACACATAGTAATTTACATCTGACAGAGAAATACACGTAACTACAGTGGGATACTTCCAAGTCTGCAACCGCAGTGTTGTGGTGGCAGCCCAGCTGATGGTGAGTGTCCTGGTTTTTTCTCCTTTTTGTCAGTTTTTCTGCTTTGTCCTTGGTTTTCTGTTCCCTGCCTGCCTCCCTGTGTTTTCTCCCCTGTGTGCTCTCTCTCCCTCTGCTCCTGAGCCCAGCCAACTACCTGCACCTGCATCTCATCAGCCACCTCGTCAGCCTGCCACACCTGCCAGTAATCACCTCATGACTGCCTGTATTTCAACCCTGGTTCTCCACACCATCCTTGGTTCCCCGTGCCTGTGCTTTCCCGACATCCACCTCTTCCTCCACTCTAGTCCCTTTACCCCTTTCTCCCTTAATAAACCTCCTTCCCTCCGAACTTTGCATTTGGGTCCTCTCTGTCCCCACACCACGCAATCCCACAACACGCAGCAAACTAACAAAAAGTAAACTTAACCCTCTAATCATAACGTTAGATAAGTATTCATCTGAGAAACCTGAAGGTAATGAGCCTCCTTATTTTTCTTCATTGACCTGTGACATCGTCCTCTCACAGACACCTCTCCCTCAATTGCAATTGAGACTGTTTCAATACAGTGTTTGGGGAAACATTTCATTAACGTTCCTGACTTTTATCTTACACACCACACTCAGTATATAAGTAGTAATATAGAAATTTATAGTCTGTACTATATGAACCTAATCAAGATTAGAGCCTAAAAACGTTCTGTTTGCAAAACAGAAAGGTAATGTTAGCTAGCTAACAAATTGACTGCTGCTATCTTAGCGTATTAGTTAACGGCAAGAAAAAACAAAAACGCGTACCTCCATAACGTTAATCAAACAGGTACTGTTCAATGAAGAATTTGTAGCCTTTGTCAAGTTTTGAACGTGTTGTCAGTGAAAACTTGTCTGCAAGTCGTTGTATCTCATCAAACCGTATTTTTGGTAGATGTATAAGCGACTGTGTAAACTCCATGCTCCGGAAGTAAAGATTCCCTGCTTCGAGTCAGAATGGAAGTTGTGTGACATCATGTGAAAAGGGCCTATTAGAGCAGAGACAACATCTGGGCTATTCTAGAATTCTAGCATTCTAGAAGAATGGTAAAAAAATTCCCATAAATACAGTCCTAAACCTTTTGGAAAGCCTTCCCAGCAGAGTTGAAGTTAATAACTGCAAAGGATGGGTCAACTCCATATTAAACCCTACGGATAAGAATGGGATGTCATTAATCTTCATGTGCATAGAAAGGCAGGCGACCGAAATCTTTTGGCAATATAGTGTATATTGTTCAGTATCGCCTTACTTGCAGAATGTTGAAAGCACTTTATCAGTGCTGGCATGAAGCATGGGCTCCTTTTCACAGGTGTAACAGAAAAACAAATACACCTGCATTCGAGTTTTGTTTCATTTTCACACCTAACCTGCTCTGATGGTGGATTTTGCAAGCCTCAGTGTTCTACCATCCCCAGTAAAGGTCACTGAAAAATGACAAATGTTAGTGTTGTGTACACCAACATCATATCTCAAAGCTTAACACAGCTGTGTTAAGAATGTGTTAATACTACTCAAATAACTGTGATTCATAGCTTTCTTTGAATCAGTTTAACTGGAGGACAATTACTCTCTCCCTATATTTCAAACTTCCACTGCGCTTACAATTAAAGTGCCAAGTGAGTTAAGTATATCTTCTTCTTAGAAATCCTGCAACAAGCAGAAGGGAAGCTGGAAGGTGGGAAGGTCAGGGGGTTCCAAAAGTAAGCTTTTAGACAGGAACCTCTTAACAGGGTTTTCCAGACATGTTTAGATCGGTAGCAACATCTCACATTAAATCATATATTCATCACTCTCATCTCATGTATAAGTTACAACTTGTTGTTAACACTTTGATTCTCACTTTTTCCCTGGCATTTTATCTTTGCCTAAAAAGATGGCTTTTTATATGATGTTTAGCTTAAACTCCAGCACAAGAAAATCTAATCAAAAACAATCAAATTTCAACTGTTTCCACGTTTTAAGCTCTCAGCATGGTCCGTGCTGCAACCCATGCTGTCTGCAACAATAACTGTGTACATACTTTGCTTTCATCCATGTGGGAGTTGCCATTGCTCTCCAAGACTGTAGTAGACTGTAGTAGCAACCACACAGGAAGGCCGCTTTTAAAGAGTAAAGCAGGCAACAGGTGTGTTCGAGATGACTGCGGCTGACTTTTGCCAACTTGATAGTCTAACATGAGGTGCAGGTGACTGCAGTGGCGAGGTGTAAAAACACTGGCGTCAAGTTGGACACATTCTACCTCCGGTAGACTGTGTGAGCTTACGGTGAGCTTAGAACAATGACTGATCTTGCGACATTTGCAAAGATAAATGCAGTCGGAACAACATTTCTAACCAGCGTACTTTATTTGAAGTCCATCACGTTAAGTCAGCGCTACGCAGTGCCTCATGAAGTCAAGCGCACCTAATACCATACGTGATGGTATTTAGTTAAAGGTTTTGACTGACTGTGTACAGCAATGTGTAGATTTCTACTTGGTTCCATGACCTGCTTGTTTGAATGTGTTGGTTATTTTATTATTGGTGTGTTTTCGAAGGAGATGAAAGAGAAGATGATTTGGTTGGGTCAGATTTTACGAGGCACACATCAACTGTGTTTTGCGCTAGCACAATTACGTAGTTTTGGCCTGCTTTCATCTCTCACTCTTAATTTGACATAAAAATAAAATACTGTTGGCCAGCTGTATCAACATTTAAACAGAGAAAGTTAAAGGATAGAAAATGTTTTCTTCTTAACTTCAGTACTGTGCTGAATGACAGCCCATTCAACCACCGTTTAGTGTCCTCTTGCTCTCTGATGACCTTGTGTATTAAATGGATAGCAGGGGATTTTTTAAGTGGGACTGTAGGAGGTACTTATCCACAGTCAGTGTATATTACCTGCAGTAGATTAAGGTCAGCATGTCCCCAGTTTAGAGAAGCACAGGTTTCTACCAGCATAGAAGCTAAGCAGTGTACTGCTAAGGACAGGGTCAGCAGATAACGTGTTTTAGCCACGTACTGCAGGTAATACACTCACTATGGATAAGTACCTCATACAGCCCCACTTCAAAAATCCCCAATGATCCTTTTAATGCAGCAAAATTCACAATATAGCTGTTCTCATTTACATATTTTCCCGTTTCTGTTGTCAGACAACAAAATACTTACTTGTCATAACATTAAGAAGCTAGCAGTAGATTCCTATTAGATTACATATGATGGTAGCTTGCAAAACGTTAGCCCCAACTGTTAAAGGCTTAATGTTACGTTACAGATTGTAATTCCCCACACCCTATGTTGGATTCTTTTTTGGAGTAACGTTACTGCTATCGACAGTGCTGTGTGAGATTATTGTCTTGAATATGACTATTGAAAGAGAAAGGCAATATTTTTGTTACAAGATGTTATTTCTTTCAGTGATCGATTCTTGTTAAGTTGTGATGCCATCAGATCTGCTACACACTACAACTGTAAGTACTAGCCTTGGCTACTTGACATTTGACTGCTGATATTACATTGTCTGTCTTCAAATAAAAATATTTAAAGACTGTCATCTATATTTTGAGGTGATGCTCCCATGTTCTATATTCTCCCATGTGTGACATTATAATACTGTCAACATAAAAGCTGAGCCATCTTCTATTGTTGACTTATTTTACATTACCTGTAGCATTTATTACACATTTATTTCCCTCCCATAGTCACAGTGTGGACCATTTGTCCCACCTGGTGCCCAGAGAGCTACAGAGACCTTGAGAAGCTTCTTCATTGTGCTGGACATCAGAATCTGTGGGAGTGGACTGACGTGGAAAGGCCTTCTCTACTTCTGTTTACTTTTACATTTAGTTTTAAATATTGTCCACATTTTGTTAATGGCCATTTAAAAATGTATGAATTATTGTTCACATTGCAATATCCATTCCATATATTTGAACTCTGTTTGTCTCTGTTTTGTGAAAATGTCAATGTCAATTCAAAGGACAAGCTAATCAAACAACACAAATATAACATCAAACATTAATGCTGAACTCTTGCTAAGGGTTAGAAGTCTAGTAGAAGTTAAAAAGTGAAAATACTAATTTCCTATTATTGTAGTATTTCCACTTTCTACCTTATACTTTAAAGTAAATTACTTACAACCATCACCAAAACGTTCCAAAGTTTTTGAAGACTTTTTTTGAACATTTACTGTTTGACATAAGTCTAGTTTAAACACAAAAGAATGTGTCCACATCTAAACCAACATGTGGATGATTGCTGAAACTGATAATGACCTGCACAGAGTAATAATGAATCCCACTAGTTGGTATCATTAATAGTGGCATTGCAAACTCTGAGGTCTCAGAGCTGATTGAATGCACAAGTCCAAAAAAGACCATTATAAAACATCAGCTTTACATTTTTTACTTTTTACTCACATAGATGCAATATGTTAAATACCAGCTTAATGGTTTCATTTACAAACTCACTAACTAATTATTCTCAATACTCAAGTGATAGTTTAAATCATGTCTTGCATTCATGAAATAATTAATATTAAAAGGTTGTTTGTATGACTTGAAGTGATGTGTTGTAACAGTAATTATAATGACAGAACCTGTGGATAGGAACCCAGTGTCAAAAATCAGTAGTGTTCAGGTGTTGTGGAGTGAAAGTAAAAACAAAAGGCTAAGCAGTGAGGTGGAGGAGCTGGAACAGAAACTGGTGAGCAACGCTGGAAGCTAGGACCTCTTTAGAGCTGGACTCAGCAATCCACATCTGGAATGATGCTGCCATCAGCTTACCTGGCCCTTTAAAGACAACATGGGTAGACAGTTACTGACACAGCTTCTTCCCAACTCCCATAAACATACTGAACTCTGAGATCGCCTCAGCATAATATTCTCTATGGCATGAAATAGTAATTATGATAGCAATATGCAATTCATCATTTACTCATATGAGCAATATTAATCTTTGTTGCTGGACACTGTGCTGTAGTAATCCATGCTGACAGACAATAATAGCAGATACCACTTGAACACTGAAGTTAGCTCTTATTAAATAATAAATATATTATGTATAGCTCTTATGTTATATTTATTGTTGAACTGGTACAACTTGACATTCTTTTATTGAGAATTTAAATGCATCTTTGGGTTGTCAATAAAGTAATCTCGTGCTAACCAATAACAAAAAGTATTCTGGGCCCTCACAGGTTAAAAATACAAGCAGCTGGAGAGCCTACACAAACTCAGAAGCGGCTGTCACACACCTAATTTCTCGCTATGACTAATCTAACTTTACCCAACTCAAGAACATCGCCCTAGTTACAGCCCAGCTAACGTTACCTGTCTTAACCGCATGGCAACCACCGACGCTCCCCCCTCAACTCTCTGCCTTAAAACATTGTGTCCGTCCCTCAGTCCAGGTGCAGCCACTTTAGTTTAGTTTCCGCAGGTCTTTTCTCTAACACAGTGACTCCGTTACAGTAACGTTAACTGTTACCTATCCAAATCTAACATTACCTGTTTGGCAAGTTTAACGTTAACATTGCATAAAATCAGCTAACTGACGAGGTTGACCATTACTTTCCAACTTCTAACAGACGCCTTTTTTCCAAAGTATTATCACACTAAATTCAAACACTTCTCTAAAACTACTTCTGTGCATGATTCTTTAAAAACTGTGGTTAACATACACTCCCGTTATTTTAGCATTGTTAGCACAGCTTGGCAAAGCTTGAAGCTGGCTAATTAGCTAGTTAAATAGCTAAGCTAACTAGCTAACATTATTTTCTGATACCTGCTAAATAAAATAAACTAAAATACTAGAAATTCATTCACCAACTGGAGCACAAGCTTCCTGGTCATCTAATCCTAACTTTAGTGACCTTCATTGGGCTTGCTAATATTGTTATTTTGTAAGCGCTTAGTCTTGCTTCCCCATACACACTGAAACATCAAGCCAGTGATTCAAGATTCAGACACCCTGGAAACTGTTCTGGAAAAGCTGAAATTGTGTAGGTGAAGAATACAGTTTTATTGTGGATGGAAGGGTGAAACAGAGAGAAAAACACGTGTTTTAACAGCTTAGTATGAATATACTCTTACTTATATGCTGATATTTCAACTGCTTTCAGCACTTACATGTCAACTCACAGTTCCAATGCTTTCAGCTCTCATTCCTCAACTGAGAGTTAATCAGGTTTGAGGTATGACACTTTAACACTTCAGGCTCAATTTATAATTTCAGCAATTTCAACATCTTTCAGGGCTTGAAGTTCCACTCCTTTGCTGTTCTTTTACTGCTCACTGCTCCCTACAATTTATTTTAGGTCACTGAACTTTGATTCTCACTGCTTCCCTTGTGTTTTACACTTCCTTACAAATAGAGTGGATTTGTTCGAAAAATTAAACATCAAATCAAATTGACCAATCAGCATCCTTAAAGGTGTAAGAACTGGCCACCTGTTGAATTTATTCTCCAACTAACGGGCAGCCTATCACCAGAGGAAACATGGCTGAGCATGGCTCAGGTGGTAGAGTGGTTGTCTAATCAGAAGGTTACTCCTGATGAGCAGTTGTTTTCTTGCATGGCAGTCTCTGCTGTCTGTGAATATGTGTGTGAACGGGGGGACATTAGGGTGCTACCTGCTAAAAGGGAGTTTTTCCTTGCCTGTGTGTGGCCAAGTGCTTGCTCATGGTGGGAATTGTTGATACCGTACTCTTTGTAATATTATAAACAGAGACCCAATTCTCACCATGACCACAGCACTTGGCCACAGTGGGAAGGAAAACTCTTTAAATAGGCAGAAATCTCGAGCAGAACCTGGACTGAGGGTGGTTGGCTATTTTCCTCAACCTGTTGGGTTAAAAGAGAGAGAGAGAGAGAGAGCAGGAGGAAAGAGAACACAGCCACTCAACACATAGAGATATATATAATAATAGTAATGGCAATGGTAATAATACAAACATAAATAAAAGTACAAATAGTAATAATGATCAATTATTTTAAGATTTTTAACTGTAACTCTGCAGCTGAAAGCATGTGTAAATACTATTCTGAAAATGTGGCTGTTTCTAGTTCCCTTTGCTCCTTTTTCATGTAAATATGTTTGTGTTGAAATTGCTAATGAAGATGGATCTATAAGATTTAACTCTCAAAAAGTGTTATAATGATAACAGGGAGGTTTGTTTCTTACTGCTCCTCAGTGTTTTAGTTTTTGCTTAAAAATTGATTCTTGCTTAGATGTTATTTCAACATCAAAATAAAGAAAATATTATGCTTATAAATCAGAACAATGTTTTGGACTTACCATAGCCTATAGCAAGTCTCCACACCTATAGTATACCAGCCGACAGCGGTGTAGATAAATAAAAAGGTGCATTGTGGAAGCTGCAGGGAGAAAGAAATGGAAAGAGTGTTTGTAGACAGAGAGCCAGTGAGGGTGGTGTGGTGTGGTGTGGTGTGGGGAGTATTTGCACTTAGTGTGTGTATGCGTGCGTTTGTGCCCCATGTGAGTATAGGGGCCGTCCTTTCTACAGTGGACCTGTCACACACAATACTTAGCATTAAGTCAGCCCCCTCCTCCTCCTCCCCCCTCCCCCCCCTCCCTCCCTCCCTATACTCTATGTGGGGATCAAGCCTCACTCCTCCACAGCGTTCATGTTTGACAGCACAGAGGGAAGAAGAATAGGAAGAAGGAAACTGAATGACTGACGCTTTTTTTCTGACTGTTTGACGCAACGAGGAACTTTTTGTCCATGTCACCAGCAAACCTGAGACCAGGACACCCATCAGCCTACAGCAAAACTCTTTGCCTTTTCCGCGGATTAATTTAACCAGACCGGGATCGATGTAAGTGCAAATAACAGCACTTTTTTTCTCTCCTTTCTATGTATCTGTTGTCTTTGTGAGTCTGGAGTCCAACAAGCCCTTTTTATTTGTGCGTAAAAAGCAGGGTTTCATTAACTCTCCTACAATGTTAGGCTACAATTTGCAGATTTCCATAACATCAGCATGGCTATGGATTCCTAAAATACACATTAAAGTACCAAGAACACACTTCATGGCTCTGAATATGGCTGGAACACACAAAACAGGAGTTTACGTTCGGCTGTGCGCCCACGGAGCAGATTAGGATGCTGACGAGAGGCAAAACACTAGGCAACGTGACACATTTAAAAGTATTTAGGCCTATCGCATCTTCCATTCAAACTAAATGATCCCCTGATTACAAATTGCATCAAAAAACACAACGAAAACAAATAAAACAACAACTTATAAATCAAAGAACAAAACAGACTCTGTGGAGAGGCCCTGTGTTATTGTGGCCTCGCTAAACGTGAAGATTTTACGGTGTTGTGTTCTGGTGACAATCCTACAACCCTAAATTCTCCGTCTGAACGTGTGTGAGGCCTGCACTGAAAAGGACCTGCGCTTTTCTCCTCTAGTATTATACTGAATGATCATGTTTATAGCTTTGTGTTTTCGCCAAAATCCTTAGACTTCGCAGAGGCGGGCGTCCTGAAAATATTTGGAAGGTCAACAATTTTTGGGGATGTGGGGAAAATTGATAGGTGACAGGTGGCTGCCGGGGCCACAGGAAACCGCGGCCAGAAAAACAGAGCTGTACACCCCCCACCACCAACCTCCCATACACAGACAAACAGTCAGTCTGACTTGTGCTTATAATATTTACATCCATATAACAAACACTATGAGAGATCATTTCAGGGTTTTAACGTTTTAATATTTAAGAGTAAAGGTTCATTCCTAACCTTCAAAACTGTAGTTTGACAATAATAAAGATAATAATAAAAAAAAAAAATAGCCTACTAATGATATCAAATATAGTTAGGGTCCATTCCGGAGCTCGTTCCGGAGCTCACAGCAGAATCCCACGGTCGTCTTTAGAGGGTGTATTTAGCCCGCGGTGAGATCGAGACCAATGTTAAACCTGGAGCCCGTTCTGCCTTACTCGCTCAAAATAAACCCATTAATAAAAATACTGGCATTATGGAAGTTATAACGGAAATGTTAAATGAACAGCCTCCAATACACAAATTGTAACGCAGCTTCATGTTTTAGCTTCCTTTTCTTATATTTTATCCTACAATATTAAAAAGCCTAATCTGTATTTTAAGGTTTGGACTACGGTTCCTTTTACTAAACAATTAACTTTCGTTTTTTAACCTCGCACCGTAAATTTTCTTTTATAAAAAAAATCAAAGGCAAGGCAGATTTCCTTTCAAGAATACCCGGGTTAGATTTCATCCAGCAGGCCTTCAGTTAAGTAGCCTCTTTTGCATCTGTTCCCAGGTCAGGACATATGAAAATAACATTTGTTTAATCGAAGTTCACGTTTGGCCTCAGGGAACAATGTAAATATTTCTTTGAGTGTTTATCACCCAGCCGCGAGCACCAGAGCCAGGTCCGAAGGCCTCGGCCTGTTGTGAGGCCCTGCTGTAGTTCACCACAGCACATCTCTGTACACAGATCTGTAGTTCATTTTAGTATATATCACTAGTTTGTCGTTATAGCGAAGAAACCAACTCCAATGCTCTTAACGAGTGGGAACTTAAATTTGAAGAAGACAATTCAAATACGCTAAAGCTAAAACAGAATAATAATAATATGACAGGAAATGTTGAATTCCTTTAAAAACATTAACCGCAAACAGGAACTTACTTAAAACTTCATATTCTTATAATACCACCTCCTAAACTTAATTAATAAAATCGACTATTTGTTAAATATGCTGCGTATCTCTGGTCGAATTTCTCTAATTTCATTTATTTCCTATAAATTAGAGACGTTGTTTCACACTTTAGAGCCAAATCAGTGAAATCATTTTTTGGCACTACCGTAATAAATTGTTGCTGTAGAAAGGCTGTGTGATAATCACTGTTGTGGACTGTGTGTTACCGTGCACAGCCCATTATTTCCCGGCCGTGCGCGGAGCCAGTGATCCTGCTGCAGGACTCGGCCTCACTCCCTCACTCATATGCAAATGCTGTTATAGGAGGGCAGAAATTAACATCTACAAACATTGGACTGAAATTCCATCTGCCGCCTCTTCGAGGAGGCCCTTAATAAGTTCTCAGACAGCAAAGTGACACATATCTTAATCAACTCTTAATCCCGGGAATTAATTCTGGACGCGTTTATGAATAATTCCCGGGCTAATGCCTGCAGTCCGTGGAAATGTCTGCCACGCGCACCGCCAGATGGACCCGACAATCTCACGAAAAATGAGAGGATTTTTGCTTCCATTATTATTTTTTATTATTATTAGGTTATCACCAGATATATATTTTAATGAGGTCGGTGTCACCGGTGACAGCTTATGCAAAGCGCTGTAGCTTATGCAAACTGAAGTCTCTCAACTTGCTGTCCCTTTCTGAACGGGAGGCCCCCAACATTCAGTGTAAACACATGGTCCCATCCTAGCAATGTTGTAGGCTTTATTTAAGCAGAAAAGCAACTGAACAGCATGTCAGGTAGCTGTGGAGGTAGAGGTGGGTGCTTCAGTTTCACAAGTGAAGCCTAGGAAATAACCTGGGCCCTCTGATATCCACTGAAGAGGAGGGTGAAAACTGAAGCTCAGGTAAACTTTGATTTTTATAAACTTGTGTATTACCACAGAGGGAACTTAGCGTCAATACAGCCACCAGCATTAAAGCATCTCAGGATCAGTCTGTCAGCTCCTGAGCACCTTAGCATGCTTGTTAGCTCAGTGATAGTTTGTTGGCCATATTCACTCAGAAGGAGGGGGAGACAGGCTCTTGATTCAGGAAATATAATCATGTGGCGCCCCTGGTTTGTGTGTGTGTGTAGCATGGGAGGAGGGGTAGGGGGGTACTGACACCTTGTTCTGGACAAAATGACTGGCTTGCATCACCCCTCATCCCCTCCTGCCAAGCCAGCCGGCCTCTCAGCACCACATTGACACCAGACCGCCTGTCCATCCATCACTGCCGCTGCGGATATAGCCCCTCACACTGGCTCACATTCATATTTCTGACCAAAATACTGGACCTTGCTGATACAAGACTTGGTTTCTGCTCTCACAAAGGGACAGCTGTTGCTCTGTCAGGCAAGTAGGCCTACCCTGACTGAACTGTTCCAACAGCCTCTGGGACTTGTTTGTGGAGTCTTTGATTTTAAAATCCAGGAAAACGACTCAACACATCTACAGGAAAGGTAATGCCGTTTTAAACAAACAAAAAAAAGACAGTCTCAGTTTTCATGTTAAAGCGTTAAATCTAACATGTAACTTGCTTGTGTTTGAATTCATCTTTTTTCCTGTACATTTGTTATCAGTTGTGTTACTTTCAACAAAGGAAATCTCAATTTATTTCAAAAGGATTTAAAACAGTTACCTGTCTTGAAGAAGTAAAAAACTCACTGCAGTAGAGGGGATTTTATGATGGCTGGTTATGTTTGCCAGATCAGTCATTTTCCTGTAACATGTTGTGGACATGGTGCTACACCATCCGAGGAAGCTTGCTGAGATGTCAGACCAGGGCTGTTTGAAAAACACAAAAGTTGTACAGTTTTGAAATCCCAACACAGACAGATGATTTTTTTGTTACTGGGCCATTTTACTAAACAAATAAATAGTATTTGTGATTATGAACAAGGGAATAACTGTCCTTTATGACCCACAAGTCAAATTTAACCTACAAATCCATATCAGAGGCTCATTAATCCAAAGCCAAAACACAGAGGGAGTGTGCCTATCTCTCTACTGGGAGACTTGACCTTCTCCTTAGTCTCGCATATTTTCCCTATGCAGCGATGGCCTCTTACCGACAGAAGAATACCGATTTTCCTGTCTCCTAATCTTTTCTGAAATGTGCCGATAATTCTCACAGGTACTAAACGAAGTACAGATGCAAGTGTTTCTTTAAAGTCTCTGTCAAATGTTACTTGTGTTAGCAGTGACAAATATGAAATGTGCATTAGGCATTATTTTAAAGGGTTGAGGCATGTTTGTATAGCCAAAATAAGACAACTGATATATTTGATAGACGAAAATGTTGGCTTACCTATCAGATGTCACAGATATTTAGTGGTCATAAAGTGCTAAACCTTTAATCAGAATATGCAGGTTGGCTTTAGTGCAGTATTATGATGCTTTGTCAGAATGACTGACACAATATTAAGTGAGGGTCAGTCAGAGTTTAAGGGAAAACACTAGTAATTTACATTGATGACATTGTTCACTTTTGCATGCCAAGTTTAAATCATTGTAATAATTGAAACTAGAAGAATATGAAGCTCTGTGGTAACTGGATGGGGACAAAATGACAAAGCAAATCTCTATTTGATGAGTTTTCAAGCATAATTTATAGTATTTATAGACAAGTGCAAGTTGTTTTTGGTCTGAATTTCCTTTAAAAAATGTACTTTGCATAAACTTAATCTCAGAGTTTTATAACCCTCACATGTCTTAAGTGCTTGATGTAGATGTATCTTTAGCTACTAAAGTGGAAGTATTTTCTAAGCACAAAATAGGCCTATATCAGATACCTTTAATAAAAAATTTAATTGGCATGTCATATTTAGAATATGCTGTATTCCTCTAGGGGTCTTTAACATCAAACATTTACCTGAGTCTTCAACAGAGCCGTAGTTACCACTGAGGACAAGGCGCTCATGTAATCAGAGTTGTATCTGGGAATTTGGGTGTTGTAATGACCTGGAGAGGAGTTTACATTTTACAGTTATTCACAAATTACATATAGTGGGGTTTAAAGGGGGATTATGATACATATTGGACTAAATATCCAGCATTTGCATTTAGACAAAAATAATAACATAAATAATACTAAAATGTAATAGAAAAATATAGAGAGCATCCCTCCAGAATTATAAATAAATAAAATCATCACTAACAATTTATTCCTCAGAACAATTCCTCCTCTTGTCCTCTAAGACTCACACTTGAAGCTCTAAAAGTGGAACGGCTGATATAAAGCTTATGCTGATGTTCAAAGAGCGCAGAGGGAAATAATGTAATTTTAACAAGTTCAAATGGTGACAGTGAGTCTGGTTCAAGGGTTCAAGATTTCAACCTAGTTGTACAATGTGTTGTTGTTGGTGAAGGGGGGGTTGTTGTTTGACGCAATGCCATGCTTCTGAACCAGCCTCCCCTGAGAGGCTTCAAATTTAACCTCACCAAAAGTCACATGTGACCGGCACACAAAGGACTGGCATGGTGGCAAACCAAACACAACGGGGGTGGGGGGCAGAGAGGTGAGGGGGCAGACAAATGTGCCAATTCCCATGAAAATCTAAATTTGCTCGTAACCACAACATGACGAGACACAGAGAGACTGGCAACATCCAAACAGTCAGCAGGTCTTAAAAACCCCCACCTCACACTCTGTTTGATTTGTTAGGGATGAGGCCTATCAACTTCTTAAATCTTTGATGACATGGATTCATAGTAGTCTACAGCAGCTTGAGACTTTGCTCTAAATCTGTAAACTTTAGGTTTTACTCACCAGTGTTTTGGGAAATGCACGGTACATAGAAAAGGAGGGTAAAAAGTAACATGTTTAGGTGGGCTGAGCCTTCACTTCTTTTATTCCTCCATCCACATTCCCTATGTTTGATATAGTGGTTTGACATTTGTATGTCTTTGCTTTTATTGGCTGTTATGTTCAATACTTTGCCTGCTAAATACCTTCTAAATGTGACCTGACATCACAGGTATAATAATTAAGTCACATGAGCACATCATGAGGACATCATTACTTTTTGAAGTAAAACTTTTGACTTTTGGATTAGGAAGCATTTTTTGATCAAGCAAGTAAGTGTAAGACAGATACTATGTTTCTTTTTGACTAGCATTCTAGCCATAAATCACCCCCAACATTTTCAAGGTGTCAACTGCTCTGGGATAAATAAACGACCAGCTATTTCTGGGCTCCATTGAGCAGCAGTGCTTTATCACCGGCTAGAATTTGGCTTGGAAATGTCATCGTGTATTTTACAGCAATAACTCTATTGCTCGCCCCATGTAGCCCAGAATAGAGACAACCCAGGACAGGTCTTGTTATAGCTGCTTATGTCAGGCTCACATTAAGGGATCAGGATTACAACCACAACCAGGGCTGAATGGAAAGATAGAAGAGAAAATAGAAATAGAATGCACTGCTATTTTAAGCAAATACACACAAAGCCACATCAAATCCAAGAGTCCATGATACTGACTGATATCAATGGATACTTTCTCCAAACAGGACACTAAATCTATACATAGTCTAGAGGAAAACATCTCTGGGAGGTCAGGTGTTCTTTAATCTAAAAGAAAAAATACATTTACAAAATCTAGCAATTAACACATTGTGATGAAACTGTAATTGTGATATTAATCCAACAAAATAATTAGAAATACTATGTAAATGACTGTATCACTAATGCACTACTGACAATGGCTGTGTTTCTTTGATGAAGACCTTATGCTATTTGTGTATTAGGAGTATATAAACTGAAAATTACATATTTTAGTATTTCCTGTTTTTCGTTTTTTCTTTTTTTTTTTTAAACTCAAAAATCGTGTAAAGCTGCTGAGCTTTAGACTCAGCTTTAGATGTGGAGTCTCAGGGACAAAATGCACCTATTCACTATATTCATAATGTCTTTTGCTGTGTTGGATGATGGCGTCAGTTAATATGTTTTAGATAGGCCTATTTTTGTGAGTAAATCAAACTGAAACTGTAAAGGCATGACTGCATTTTAGGATTACAGAAATAGGCTATCAGGCGAGTAAATCGAACTGATCACTGTTAACTCACGGCACTCATTGGGCCTATATTATGAACATCAGTAGTATTGTAATAGTGACAGGAGAACGTTGGGCCAGCCTGGCCCGACCGGCCGCCTCCAGGTGGCCACAGCGGCTACAGCGGTGACGGTATGTTGTCTGTCCCCGGGTCCCGCGGCTCGCTGTGAGCGTCAGTGTTGGGAGAATAAACCCTGACATGTGTCTGTCTGTGTGTCTCTGCAGAGCCTGGGTATGGATTTTAACCTGCTGACGGACAGTGAAGCCCGCAGCCCAGCGCTGTCGCTCTCCGACTCCGGGACCCCGCAGCACGACCAGGGATGTAAAGGCCAGGACAACAGCGGTAAGATCATCAGACCTACCGTGCATAGACCGAATCACCACAATGATCTTGAAATGGAAGAAAATGCTCAAAACAATGACAGTTGTGGATCAATCAGGCATATCATGCATACGAAACAGCAGGAAACATTCGATGGGCTAATAGTAATAATACTCTGGAGAGGACGGCAAATTTCTGTGCAGCAGCTTTAATGCATTATAGATGCAAATTGGCTCCAAAACAAACAGACTGTAATTCTTTTCTGCTTTACGTCCCGAGATGTCCTCCGTATTTCTGCATGCTGGCTCATACGGAGGCACCAGAAGAGAACCATTTCGGCAGTACATTTTGAGCTAGAGTACAGTTTAACCAGAGCCAATTAGGCCCACCAAGGTTTAATATCTGTAAAGGGCAATGAGGGGGATTAAAGGCAGCTCACATGCACCAGTCTGCACATCCTGAAATCAAAGCCATCTTATCTTGAGGTGATCATCAGCCTCTTTAAAATCAGAATTATCAACTTTATTAGCATCCATTTAATTATCTGTGTTTCACCATCTATGGAATATTTCAATTAGCCTATCTGTAGGCTATTTCATGATCAAACAATCTAACCAATGAATGGTGATTTAAAGTAAACTGTCAGGACATTAAACCTACAACTACTAGGACTGAGAGAAAAAACTAAATAATAACTCAAGGTCTACTTACTAGCTTTTGCTGTGACTTTCCACCGCATCTCTTGGCATTCCTCAAGGAATAGATTTTACTTAGCTGTCATAGGTGCTTTAGTTGTCATTACGTAGCTGACATTTAGGTGATTTGAGAATCATATGGAGCTGTATCCTCTCTGCTCGTAAGCTTTACTCAACTCTGTTTTACATAAACTGACAGTTTTAGCTCACACAGTTCTGTAACATGATCAGGCATTATACATGACAAATAATCACCTAGGTGGATTGTCTGAAGTCTCTCTCTAACTTCTCCAAATAGCCTATACCAGCTTAACCCACCCGCTAACAGTGAGTCTATATCTATCTAGTGGTGTTCAAGTGTGTGTGTTTATGTGTGTGTAACCCAATCTAATTGCTAAACTGTGTGTGGTTAGAAATCCCAGTCCTAACAAATGGTCAGACACAAACTATTTAGGAAAGAAATGTGGTGTAAAATGTGTTCATGTATATCCTGCTGCACCAGTCTTCTTATTTATTTATAATTCTTATGTAATTAATTCAGTCTTAAATACTTTAGTCTTCAATAAAACTGGCTTGCTGTCTGCAAACCTTTCTCTGGTGGGACCTGAAGCTTTTTATCGGGCATACATATTTATTGAAAGGGGCCCAGGTGGTGGATGTTAGCACAGGAAAGAGAAATAGAGGCAGTTTTAACGAAAACGCCCTTACTGACAGATATCTCAGGTGCATTTCTTTTGCATTGATAAATTGGTTTTATTTGGGAGGTTAACCCATAATCCAAGATATACTGGGGACTAGGGTGGGAGGATTACCAAATTATCAAAATGTGGTGATGACTATACTATAAATGCTATAAATTATGCAATTATTGTTTGTTTTACTCCCGTGTAAATCTAAATCTAATTTACATGTTTTATTAATCAAACATATAGTTTTGCAATAAAAGGCTCAAATATTTACATTATTGTTGGATTTATGTAATAAAACACAAACACGATTTAAAGAAAACAAAGATGGTTTCTTTTTTTGCAATAAATTATGATGAAATATTCATCCAATAATATGATGAAACATTCTACAATTAAAAAGCTACACATGGTGGGTATTTTATGAACTATTTCAGCATTTTGAGACTTAATATGTTTAAATTTGACTACTTTCAGGCAAGCAAAATAATAAATTAAATGGTTGAGCATTTCTCGCCTGCTGGCATTATGGGAATTGAATGTATAAATGTATAAAAAGTGTGGGGTGCATTAGGGGGAATTCTTAACTCAGTATTTGTACAGTCCTGGCTGCTGTTTATTGTTGGCTTTTGTTCCCCTTTACAATGAACACAAAACACACTCTTAAATCTGGACTTGGTTATACTGAAGTATAATATGGCTGCCACACCTCACCACACCAAGCTAACACCCATGCCACAGGCACGGATAAGTGTACTATCTCTGGTGTGTCTCTTTGTAAAAAGATTTCTTTCTTTCTTTCTCAAAAAAAGGTGCAGCTTCTGTAAAAACTGACTTTGATTTTACCCGTTGGAGCAAGTCTGGCAGACTGCTTTGAAAATCTAAATGAAAACTGTAGTTATTTTCCAGATTAAAGCCCTGTGAGACGCTGACCTGGAACGGCTCTGTCATGTCGGCACATTACCAGCCAGACTGCTCTTACAGTTGGTCAGTGCATTGCTCTAAAAAGGGCTGCCCTTTCCTCTGTTTTGTGTTATAGACTTTGGCCTTAAGTGACAGCTTATCCAGTGTCAGTTTACTGCGAGATAACAGCCTTGGTCTGGCCCTTATTGGTTTTGCTGGTGGCTCTGTGGAGTCTCTTTTTAAACCCTGCTGATCATTTCAAACTGCTCTGAGAGCTAAGCCCTCGCCAAACAGAGCTCAACTTGCCCGGTCACAAAAGCCTGATCTGCAGGATTAGCTGGCCAACTAATTTCACTTCTTTCTGTGAGGTCCTCAAATTGCGGGAGTAAGATCTGGCAGAGAGGAGCCCTGGCAGACATAACATGGATGTGTGGTCCTTTAAACTCACTGTGCTAAGGGACAAATGCAATCACCGCTGCTCCTGCACATCTTTGAACATAACGCAGTGTGTGGAATCATTCTCTCTATGCAACATCACACTCATGCTTGTCATTTTCCAGCCTGTGGTATGAAGGGAATGCAGATGATGTTTGATCTGACAATATTATCCAGTCAGTTTCAGCAAGGATTTGATAGTGCTGATGCAATCCAGGGTGAAAGTGTCAGACTAATGTGCTGTTTCACAGACAGAATGTGTCGATAGTTTTGCTTCTCTATGCAGAATTTAGCCAATTAGACTCCACAGGTTCAAGAACAGGGTTCAAAAAGATCTCTGTATTGAGGTGCTTCCTATCTAATTGGGCAAGTTTTTTTTTAAAAGCTACAATGCAAGAACACAGTCTCTGGGTTGACACACAGTTTATGGGGGGACACTTTCCCAGATACCAGATTAGTTTTGGTCTCCCAATTTAGGCTATGATGTGGAGGCTGATGACACTTCTTTACTATTGACCATGATTATTGACTTTGCTGTTCATCTATATGTGCTAAAATTGTGAGTTTGGCTGTTGAATTTTTTAAACAATTCCTGAGGATTGAAGAGTGATGAACCCAATACTTGTGGTGGACTTTTTAGGATTGGACATAGTGGGGGGTGGGGGTGGCGCCAATTTCAAATCTTGCCTAGGGCTCCAACAGGGTCAAGATTATAGCTAGTGGCTAAACCTCTGTCTCTGACTAACTTTGCTAACACAGGCAAACATCAAGCAACGCAACAGCACAAGACACAGCGAGCCAGCTAATAAGTTATTACTGACTAGTCCAACAGAAAAGAGGCCAGCTCTGCATCTGTCCTGCATACTTTCAGTTCTTTTAGCTCAAGCCAACGTGTAAAAGTCAGTCTGATATTTACTCTTGTCAGGTCTCTTGCTCAGTCACTCTCTCTTTTTCTCTTTCTCGCTTCCTCAGACGTCTTCTTTGGTCTCTTCGCAGCCTCTGCCATGATAGCTAGCTTGCTGAAGAGTCGTTTTGGTGCTGTAAAGCATTACACCGTTGCCATGATAGATTTCCTGCCTGGGATTCCAGTGTTACATAGTGTAGTAGCATGCACTGTGGGCCTGGAGTGGTAATGACAGAGACTCCATTCACCCTATTACAAGTCAGTGTACCATCAAAATAATTTTGAAGCTGAAGATAAAATTACTACATAATGTTGCTTTAATTAACCTCAATTTCATTTTTAACTTGCCTAGGCACAGTCTGTTACTCTAAGCACGGCAGGCCAGGTGAAGCTCAGAACATACAGTTTAAAAAAAATCTGAGCTGAAAAAATCTTTCAGTTATAAGGGAATATTAATTATTGTAAATGATAATATCTTTAACTATTAAGCTTTTAGCAGTTATTTCTAGGAAAAGTTTCACAACAACTATAAAGGTAAACCAACTTTTTATTGTTTATTATTTACTATTTATTGTATCTGAATACTTCTTCCAACACTGTATCTATATGTAATGACCAACCAAATAAATTACTGAAAATAAAGTGTTACTGTACATGTATATCGATACATGTTTATAAGCATAAAAATGAAAATAATAGTATATTTAAATTTGGTAGTGATTATTTTTTTTGCAGACACAGAGAAATCCCACCAGAACCAGCTGGATGAGTCCAACACTGAGGACGGCTCTCTGAAGAAGAAGCAGCGGCGGCAGAGGACTCACTTTACCAGCCAGCAGCTTCAGGAGTTGGAGGCCACCTTCCAGAGAAACCGCTACCCTGACATGAGCACCAGAGAGGAAATCGCAGTGTGGACCAACCTCACTGAAGCACGAGTCAGGGTGGGTACACACACCTCTGCCATGTTCCCTATGGAACAAAGAACCTGATCATATTTTTATTACAGCAACTGGTTTCAGTGATGAGGTCCTCCTGTCTTTGATTGGTTACATTTAATAATCTGAAAAAGATGCGGAGGTCACTTTTGTAAATCCACTTTGGTCAAGGGCAGCAACTGCTGACCAGATGCGAAGACATTTGGTATGTTTGTTTTTGGTGCCCAGATCATGACTCCAAAATATCCAAAATGCAGTGTGGAGAAATGAATGGAGCACATGCTCCTCAGTGGATGAACTCTTTCTCTTTGGACACATGAGCTTTTCACTAGTGCAAAGGTGACATAATTGTAGAGCACAGAACACATTCATAGCTACCAAAGGAGTTAACCCTTAGATTGAAATGACCTTATCTTTAGTGCCACTCTCAAACTTTACATTCTTAGACCCGCTACTGGTAAGGCCGCGTTAATACAGACTTGAGCCCTGCATAAAAAAACACAGCCTTCATTAATTTGAAGGGAGCCAGTTTATCATTGGAGCACAGGTGCCAATTAGACAGCTTTGGCAAAACAATGCAGGGTCACAGTGACAGCTCCTGCCAAATCTCTCTGGGGAGGGGGTGGGGGGGCAATTGTTGTGATGATGGCTAAGGTGACCATGGTCTAAGCCAGCTATAAGACAAAGACTGTTTCTTAGGCTACAAAAATAAGGGCAGCTGTGGCTCAGGAGGTAGAGCGGGTTGGCTGTTAAATCGGTGGTTCGATCCTGGCTCCCCCAGGTTGCATGGAAAGATACTGAACCCCGAATTGGCGGTTGTTCCGCCAGTGTATGAATGTGTATGAATGTTAGTTTCTGTTTGAGCACTTAGGCTCAGTGTATGAGTGTGTGTGTGAATGAATGGTGAATGCAGATGTAGTGTAAAAGCGCTTTGAGTGGTCGAAAAGCTATACAAGTATGGAGCATTTACATACTGTACTACTACTACTGTAGTATTTGTGAGCAGCTACATCCCGAAGTTCACTGTCAATGTCTACAATGAATGAACAGTCTACAGTGATCATCAACAGATGGGTTGCCATTTTTCAGTTCAACCTCAAAGCTAGCATTAATGAAAACAAAATTGACTCTCACAATTATGTGATTCAGCTGTCACATACATTTTATTTAGGTACAACAAATGCAGAATAAAGCACAGTGGCACTGGGGCTGATAATGTCCAATGAATAAATCTATTTACAGTTCATATACTGAACACATATACTATATATGAAGGAGGATCAAACATACATATATACATATACTTAAATGTTTAATAGAGTACATATTAACCTAGTATTTATTTAATTCTTTACACACATTACACAAGACTAATAAGGTCAGCAGAGAGTTGTAAAAATACATGAATGTCCTGTAGTCATATTAAGGGTGTGGGCTGTATTAAATGTATCCACTGTTCTATAATCACACAATAAGAACGAGCTATGTGCTGTTCTCCAAGTCTTACTCTGCATCTAAACATAAACAAGAAGGCATGTAAGGGGAAATATAAAAAGGTATTTATTCTATTGTTTTTGGGTTACCATAATTTTGATCACCTTCTTATTATCTTCTATGGCATTTCACACTGCATAAATTAGCCTAGCGGACTTTTCCTCTCCTCATAGCTTAACAAATAAAATTCTTGTACTATTTCTTACTCACTGCTGGTTAAGTCACTGCATCCCCGACACAACACCACGGTTGAATTTTCAGCCTGAATATACATTTTGTTGAAACAGCAGCTGATCGTGGTGAAAGCAACAAGCTGGAGGACTGCCGAGTCGTTTTCAGGTGGTGTAGCGATTCTCAACCAGATTGAAATGTCTGAAAAGGGGCGGGACTCCACAGAACAAGACGTGACGCTGATTGGACAATGATATTCAGAGGCAAACTTTCAAAAACAGTCACAGCTAACTAACAGTGTGGTAAAAAGTGTGAAAAATCCCCTGCCTTTCCAGGTTTGGTGGTGCATCACCCAATCGCCCTAATGAACAAAACCGCCCCTGCAGGGTCATCTGACAACAACTAAAAGATATGAGCCAGGTTTTGCAGCAACACAACACTACGTCACCCAGCAAGACTCTACATTGACCACATACATGCAAACATGCATTCCTGGTAGATTACTTTGTATTTCTACTGTTTACCTCACGATTGGTGATGTAGAGCCTTAGCCCTGCTAAGGCTCTAGGAATGTAAACAATTTTGGAACGCTGTTAATTTTTGGTCTTCCTATATTTGCTGAGGAAGACTGTGAAAATGCATTTAAAAACTTTTTTGTCTAATTACTGTTTTTTAGATTGAGAATTATCTTTCAAACTTCTATAGAATTAATGAGAATATTGCTCTGTGTCTGCTAGTTCTGCAATTGCAAGTTGCAAAAATTAATTGCTCTGCCATATCAACTTAAAAGGTGATTATATGTCATTGTTGTATTTACTGTGTGTTTCCACTGCCAAAAGAATCTGTTCACACAGGTCTAAAGCCATTAATGTGCTTTGAAGATAGTAGACAGTTTTGTTGTTGTTCAATATAACCAACACTTTTAGCATTTTTCAAAATATTTAAATCTGGCTATTACCTACAAAATTATCAATAAAATATAATATAGAAAGAAAATATAGGGTTATATCATTCCATGGAAACCAGTGTCCAGTCTTATAGTCACATATTTTACAGCGACGATCTGCTCAAGTCTAAACAATTTTGAAATATGCCAATCCTAACCATTTTTGTATTCAGATAAATCAGTTTCTAGTAATGTAATTGCAGGGGAAAATTATTCCCAAATGGTTAAAAAAAATTTAAACATTATTTCATGTACTCGGTAAGATGTATTACCTTCTACCAAAGCTTGAGTTCACATGCAAAAATGTCAAAGGTGAAGCAGTGGTTTGGTCATTGTAGCTATATGGAGAAGGACAACACACATTGTGATGGATGGCAATACAATTGTTGGCCTGCCCGACAAGTAATGGATCAACTTATTGTTGGCAGGATGAAAGGTCACATAACATGCACGCGACTTATTTCGAAAAGACAACAGACTACACATTGTCTTGTCATTAATGTCTGTAAGTGGCCTTTCTAATCCCAGCATGCAGGCAGATTCCTACATGTTCAAAATACTTCACCTGTTAGCTTAATTCATGTGATTTGTCACAGCGCTGTTAGTAATTATCAAAGACCTATAGTACAGTCTGAAATTTGAGCAGTAGGGAAATATTTTTAAGATGTAAGAGGAGATCTTCTACAACAACATGGCAACAGGGAAAGGGTGTAAGAGAGGTTCTTAACTGGGGAAAGGATAGGACACATTCCTAACCCTCCTCGTTTCTCCTACAGAAATACCCAGGCTAGTGTTGTCTTCCTGGGTCCTGGCTGAGCCACGATATCGTTGTCCCCTACCCTGTCATGTGTCCACCTTCCACATCCAAAAGGCTGTCTGTCTCTGCAGTGCGGTTTGCGTCTAATGGTGACCCCTCTCTCTCTGTTGTCGAGGGACGGGACCACTTCCTCCTTTTGTGTCCTGCTCCTACTAAACCCACACCCCAGAGAGAGAAAAAGCCAAATCACCCGCACCTGTGCTCAGATACTCTTGAATGTAGTGCACACACACGCACACCTGTCACCCGGTGACATAGCGTATGCTCCTTCACCAAAAATGCTTAGCCTATGTTTGAAATGAGTGTCTGAGTTACATATTAGCCATATTCCATTAGGAACTCAGAACTTCAAATATTCAAACATGTCTGAATCATTCTCAAAGCAGCATACCTGCTAGGAATTCTTATTTTCAGAATGAAGTCAGCCACAGACAGGCAGTATACTCTAGATCCACCATCATTAGAATTCTTTGATTGCTTGAATTCAATTTACATAAAATACCTTTCAGTGCTTTTTTGGGAAAGTAAATTGATCTCCTTCTCCTGCAATCATTGGATAATTTCATAGAAGACGCATATAAATATGGCTGCAGTTGAGCCACTGAATAACCTTGACATTCAGCCTTTTCCACAAACCTTCAAAGAGCATTGCCTCCAAGTCACGGTTAAGATTGGGTAGCTTCTGTCCTCTGGCGTGGGGTTTCCCCTGCTGTCAGTGAGTGGGATGGAAAACTCAGAGTCATGCACTTTATACTCATATTAATGGTCAACAGCATTCTGTTACTATAATAACAGGGGATTGGATGATACACAGCATGCATGCCAAGGGGGCAGAGAGATGAACATCAACACAGGAAAGGCCTGTAAAAGCTTTATGAGGATTAAAGATAAAAAAAACATTTGATACCCTATTATTTTAATGTAAAACAAATACAAGTGTGACCAGCACACTTCTGTCAGATAATGCATTTGTATCTTTTTGTATCCACAAAAGAAAGGTTTCTGTCTAATTCAGAGTAAAAGTTTGTCTACAACTTTACACTCCAAGAGAAACTCGGTGCACTTTTCATTTCTAAAACACCTCAATTTAGATTTTCCACTAAAGCTATAATCCAATTCATATCCTCCAAATATAGGACCATAAAATGACAAATGTGAAGATTGCCCTTCCCTGACATTTCTTTCATTGGGATCTCACTATTCAAATAAGTCAATGATTAGTTTTAATAAGCTTTGCCTAATATGACTGTTTGATGATACACTTCAACTTACTTTCTGGGATCATTATGTCTTTCAAAAAATCTGGATGCATATGCACACAATATTACTGAACGTATTTGAGAGGGGTTAGGATATTCTGACTGGATGTATTTTAGAATTAGACTTTATTGACTCCTGACGCTTTCTGATAATAACATATGAAAATAACTTCTCAGTCATTCTATTTTTGATTCTTAAATTATAAGTGAAGCTTTGAAAACATCTCAGGCCTTATAATTGACTGGGCAAAATGAGTGTGCAGGCCAGTTTTACTTCACAATTCTACCTGCCTCTCACTGTCATTTGTCAACTTTCAAACTGATCCTCAACTGCCTTTTTTTTTTAGGTATTGTCATGTTCCTAGGTCAGAGTACAATGTTATCAGAACATCTAGAAATGATGGACAAACCAACTAAAATAAGACTCAAGCCGGATTTGTTTATATTCTAAGATCCCAAAATAGAAATATGTTGCTTTCACTACGAGGTTCATCTGTAGGCTACATGAACTGGAGTAAGAGTTTCAGAGTGTTGAGTTATTAATCTGTAAAAACTGTATCTTTCATCCATAAAGTTTTAACTGAGCTCTGTCTCTACATCACAGTAACAACTTTATGTCCACTGACTGCCTGGAGGGTAGCTAGTGTTTGGAAGTGAGAGGAGAGGTGTGTGCTGCAGCTCACTGTTTTTCCACCAGTGTTTTTGAGAGCATGTCGGACTAGCCACTTGGTGAGCGTTATATGAGGCGCATTTTTCTGTCATCCCTGTGTCGTCACAAGGATGAAAGGGAAGTGGCTGGACTACAACGAGCTGTTTTCAGACAGTTCAGAGCAGTTTTCTGTGGGAGATGGGAACTCCCTTAGAGGTGGACTTCTTTTTCACTTTGCAAACCTATTACATGCACAAAAAGGTATATAACTCAATAAAGGAGAGGGAAAAGCCAAAAAGCAGAATACCACCTCTTTAAGGATTTTTAAAAAAATGGACTGTTGTCTATTTAGTCATGCATACTTGTTATCGAGAGAAAACATTTTTTAGGGGCTTAAAGGGAAGCATTAGGGCTTAAAAAGAGTTCAACAAATAGACCTAACGCTCAAATTATTCTTCTTCTTTTGGCATCTCTAGGTGTGGTTCAAGAATCGGCGTGCCAAGTGGAGAAAAAGGGAGAGGAACCAGCAGGCAGAGTTATGCAAAAATGGTTTTGGTGCCCAGTTCAATGGACTCATGCAGCCCTACGATGACATGTACACGGGTTACTCCTACAACAACTGGGCCACCAAGAGCCTAGCAAGCAGTCCTCTCTCCGCCAAGAGCTTCCCATTCTTTAACTCAATGAATGTAAGCCCCTTGTCATCTCAGCCCATGTTCCCCCCCCCAAGCTCCATCCCCTCCATGAACATGGCCTCTAGCATGGTGCCCTCAGCGGTGGCAGGGGTTCCCACTACGGGGCTCAATAATCTGGGCAACCTCAACAACCTCAACAGCCCCGCGGCGCTCAACTCTGTAGCAGTGACTGCGGCCACATGCCCCTACGCCACCACAGCCAGTCCTTACATGTACAGAGACACCTGCAACTCCAGCCTGGCCAGCCTGCGGCTCAAGGCCAAGCAGCACACCAACTTTGCTTACCCAGCAGTGCAGAACCCCGTGTCCAACCTGAGCCCCTGCCAATATGCTGTGGACCGGCCGGTATGAAGAAGAAGCTCCGACGATGACCCCTGACCCAACCAGCTGTAAGTCCACTATTACCCCACTTCACATCTCTTCAGATCTCGGCAGATCATGTTTTGATGGTACACAATGAAAAAAAACTTAAAAACTGACACAACACAACAAATAGACATGCCTGGATGGACTACTGCTCTTCAAAGGAATTCTCTCCAGTTTGTGAGACTTTGTTGCTGAACTGACCAACTGCTTCAAAGGATTTCTAAAGATTACCGATTGTAATTTTTTTCCTTCTTTTGAACTGCATGATTAGAGTAAATGTAGAAACCAAGGGTAAATAAAACATGGATGCTTCAACTGGAGGTGGTCAACATCATGGCCCAAAAACATCAAACCTGATATTTGCAGCTATTGCAGGAAAAGAGACCTGTGGGTGAAATGCAGCAGAAATGGAGGATGTATATAATGGACTTTTTTCTGTTTTGTATGTGACAAAAATATATGAAAACGTACTTTAAAGATGAGAAAAGCATGTTCTTCAAAAGCAAAAGCCCTAAATTGATGTACTATGAGCACATCCATTAGGAACTTTAAACTTTGTTGTGAATTCCTCTCCTTATGGAAGGTCATAGGTCAAAGTTCAGCTTGGATGGGCAAGAGGAGGGCAGTCCTGGAAAGTGAACACAACCTCATATGAAAGAGGACAAGGTCCATATGAAAAATGCATTCGTGTGTATAGTCAGAATTCTGACTTTATTCACAGAATTCTGACACTCTAATCAGAACTCAAATACATTTTTCATATGTGGCCCTAATCCTCTTCCATAACTTCAAGTGGTTAAAAACAAAAATAACAGTTTACTCACACATATACCAGAATTTCAGCAAGGTTTTTCAAGTAAAACACTAAAAAGCCATTCAGTATATAGATTTGTGTGGTGTTATACAAAGGGAGCCAATGACTGTAAAAAATGTATGTAAGAGTGCAGTTGTCATAACAAAAAAACAAGCTTTTTTCCCTGGTGTAGCCTGCTTTGTCTCATTAAAGAAACAATTAAATGATCTGTTTTTATGAACTACAAATGGAAATTAAGAGAAACAATACATGTCCTTTTGTATCTCTCATCTATGGCCTATGGCATTAGTTGTGTGACACAGGCCAAAACATTATCTTCTCACAACAATGAGTGCGCCGCCATGGAAACCCTGATCACTTCCATAGCAACACTTACGCAATGATGAAAGAGAGTAGTAGGCTGGAGGGAGAGAGGTGGGGAGATATAGATGTTCCCGATGGCTTCTCACCGATATGTTTGACCTATACTCTGAGTGGTAACCGCAGACTATCCAGTAACACAGCAGGAATTCAGAGGCCGAGGCTGAATCAGCGCCAGGATTTCATAAGGGCCTCAAGGAGCAAGGGTTCCCAGCGGAGTCACAAATGAGGGGTTAGCAGCCCATCAATCCTCATCAACCTCTGCAACTGTTTATTGCTCTGATGTTTGCTGTTGTTGTTTTTTCTTTATGATTTCTTGGTAAATTCTACAAAAAATTTACACATTTTAAATCATTCTCTTGAAAAATAATTCTCTTAAATATCTTGTATGATATGGAAGTGTCAGAACATTTAGACCGAACTTCTGCTGCTAATACTAGGAATACTAGAAGTATGGAAGCCTATAAGAGACTACATTAAAATGATAATGTAAACTTAATAATGAAAATATAATTCCATAATAGCATTATAATTGTCCACATATTTGTATGTGTTATTTGAGTAAAAATTAAAATGCAATAATCCAATTAGCATTGTCATTTTCACATACCGTATGGGCATTCTATGACCATATTAAAATGAAAATACACAAGCTGTTTGACATTTAATTTTCAGAGTCATACCCCGACAATATTCAAAGTAAAATCTTATTAGAAAATGAAAATGCAGTATAAACGATTTTCAGAAGTGGAAACACATCGGCAGATGCATGCTGCAAGCTCATTGAAGACTTTGTGGCTGTGTGGGCGGAGTCAGATATTCTGTTAGAAAAAATTAAAAAGATATGTCCAGTCAAGCTTTGTAATCAAGGAGGAGCGTTGCCCATGAGATAGTAACCTCAGTCAGACCCACTTATTACTGTGATTAGTGAGGACAATGCATTCATTGTGAATTGTCTCCTATTAAATAGTATTATAGTATTTTAATATCCTACTGTTGCAATACATTGTGAATTGTCCCCATAAATAATACACATACATTTGAATATTTCTATATGCATATTTGCATGATACATCAAATTCATTGATATTGATTTAATTCGTAACATATTTTTAGTCAGTAGTTGAAATTTGATGATTACACAGTCTCTGATGACAAAATGTGCTTAAAACGGAAAGATAAACACGGAATTTGGGGATAATTCAAATGGATTTCATAGGTCCCTAATTACTTCATCAATATACCTATTCAATAGGCATGAACATGTAACCATGTAGAATACATATATTGTGTATATAGAGTAGTGACATTGCTGTTGCTGCTCGACATTTAGTTATATTTAAAATCTTCAACTGTTTTAAATGTATTCTAGTTAATGTACTGCTGATCTTGATTGTTTGATGATTCATGTGTTTATGGTTATTGGACAGGAGAGCAGAGTATAAGAGGAGAGGAGACAGCACGAGAGCAACGGAGAATAGTAGGGGGACATGGTTTTGGAGGCAGCATCATCAAGTCTGTCATATAGAAAATAATCAGTAGATCTCGTCAATCTTTGTCATTTTAAGGAACTTACATTTTTATGTAGCTCTCATGATAATGAGTAAAATCCATAGGAATTTGTTTATTAAAATGTCATTTTCATTTGCAATTTCTTTTGCAAACATAAAATTAATCCCACAATAATCCAGAGTCACCAGAGACTGATGCATACAAATTCACCAGAATGCAGGAAACGAAGGGTTTGATCCGCAAATGTTCCTTGGGGAGAACCCCTAGACTTCCTTTCCTTAATATGTGCACCTCCTAATATTGAAACAAAACCTTCACCCATACAGACTATTTTGTGGAGTGAGGTGAAGCGGTCACAGTGTATGCTCTTCATTGCCACACCACACCAAAGAATCAATATTCCACTGGAGGGGAGATGTGCACCGGTCCCTGATGTTTACTCACAGTGCAAAACTACAGCTACGAGGAGAGAGCACAAATTGTGGTCTGGAAAAAATACAGAAACAGAGAAGTTCTAACGACTACCTCAGAGAATAGAGAAAAGATACAATAACAGAACACGAATTAGAGGTCGGAATATTTGAAGGAACATAAATGGTTCTACAGAGCACCAGGTATGTTAAAATTGGTTTAATTTGACCTAATATTTCAGGAATTAGTGTTTTTTTAGTTATGTTTTTCTTGTTTTGTTTTCTTTACAAAAAATAATCCAAATACCTTGCAAGAATAAGTCAAATATTGGATGATATGGAATATATAGTATATATGAATTTAAGATTATAAAAATAATGTATTATAATAACAATACATGCAAAACATAAACATAAATGTAAAAATAATATATAGGATAATGCTATCACTTGATGGTGCAGCTCCCCCTAAAATTAAACCATTAATTACGTTACACACTCAAGTGAGCTTTGGAGGTGTTGGTTGTTATATTTTTCCACTTTGGACTGAGCCAGGCTAGATGTTTCCCTTGCTCCAAGTCTTTACACTATGCTATTCTTACCACATCCTAGATAGAAAAAGAAGACCACAAGAGGTGCATGTTAGAGGTTAGGGGTTAGAGGTGTTATAAGAGTTATAAAAGTGTTTTCGGAAGAAATGAGTTTTCAGAAGCTTGTTGAAGTTAGAGAGGGACGCCCCTACTCTGATGGCATGTGGTAGCTCGTTCCACCATTGTGGTGTTACAGATGAGAACAGGGACTGCGATTGCTTTGTGTGAAGGGATGGCAGAGCCAGACAGTGTTCTCTGGAGGAGCGCAGTGGCAGAGAAGGAACATAAACTTGAATTATGAAGTTTAAGTAGATGGGTACAGACCCAGTAGTCACTATGTATGCAGCATTAGTGACTTGAATTTGATTATGGAGTCCACGGGGAGCCAGTGGAGGTTGCTAAGTAAAGAAGTGACATGAGTACATGGGCTGATCAAAAACCAGACGCTGAACCGTGTTCTGAACCATATGTAAATGTTTCACCGCACAAGCTGGAAGACCTGCTAGGAGGGCATTGCAATAGTCGAGGCGAGAGATAACCATGGCCTGTACCAGAAGCTGGGTGGCATACTGAGTGAGGTAGGGCCTGATTTTCCTTATGTTGTATAGAGCAAAGCGGCATGACCAAGAGACAGCAACAACATGGTCTGAAAAGGAAAGCTGGTCATCAATCATGACACCCAAGTTTCTCACCACCCTGGTTGGAATGATGGTAGAGGAGTCAATTTATAGTTTGATGTTATGGTGGATAGATTGTTTGGCTGGAATGACCAAGAGTTCAGTCTTAGAGAGATTTAGTTGAAGGTGGCAAGCCTTCATCCATGCAGATGTGTCCGAGAGACTGTCCGTGATCCGCTCCAAGACGGTGGGGTCGTCTGGCGGGAAAGGATAGGTAGAGTTGCATAGCGTCTGTGTAGCAGTGAAAGCGAATGATCCACCCCAGTGAGGTGGTGTAAATTGAGAAGAGAAGAGGCCCTAGCCTTGGGCAGTGTGAGGAAGATAATTGTCCTTGCCACAACACATTGTAGGTCAAGCAGGATAAGAACCGAGGATTGGGCTGCAGCTTTAGCTGACCTTAGGGCTTCTGTTACAGACAAAAGAGCTGTTTCAGTAGAGTGGGTGACTGCATACACAGACTTTCCCAGGTTGCTGACGTACTGTGGTAAGCGTGTCGACTAATTTCCGGTGCTTGTGTGTTGGTACCTTGTTGTGCTGCTCTCGTTAAATACCAGTTACATTTCTTAGATTACAGCAACCAACTGTCCGCTAAACACTTATTCTTACAGTAATTTTGCCTAAGCACTCACACTTCTTTCCATCTTTTAGTGACTGCTGTTCAATCTCATAGTTGTTCAAAAGTTTTGGTAGCTGATGCTACAGTACTTTAGCTTAGCCGTTAGCAACTTTAGCTTAGCAGCTAGCGATGGCTTCACCTTCTCTCTCTCCTACTTTTTCCTGCTCAGTGTCAGTTGTTCAGTTACTCCTCTGCCTCCTTTAGCACTAATGGTACATGTAATAAGTGTAGTTTATATTTAGATATGGAGGCGAGGCTCAGTGATTTAGAAGTCCGGCTCCGCACCTTGGTAGATCAGTCTTTAGCTACTGTAGCTAGCCAGTCCCCGGTAGTCGG